TCCCCCCCCCCCCCCCCCCACACACACGCACACCCACGCCCATACACACACACACACACACACATATATATATATATATATACATATATATATGTATGTATATATAATGCTTCTGTTGTATATGTTCTCTATATAATCTTGTTCATGTTCGTATGTTGTATTTGTATTTTCCACAAAAAAATGTAGAACCACACATATGGGGCATTCTTGTAACATGGGAAAGGTAGGGTGACTATGAAAACATTTGACAAACGACGGCTTCTTGTCTTGTCCAAACCGACCTCGTTAAATTCATTTGCTAGTATCTTTAGGCCAAATACTTTATATATACGTTTGTTGGAATATTTAGGTCTATAATTACCGTATGGGTTAACTGCGTATCATTACCTTAAACATGTTGCCACTACCTTTGTCCTGGTTATGTTCGTAATCGTGTAGCGATTCGATCATTAATCGTTTACCAAAGAAGTCCATACTATTAGACCTGCAGTGAGAAATCAGGTCTTCACAAACTAGTTTAAAACACAAACGACATAAACAAAAATATTTTAGATGCATAAATAAGATTAATTTAAAATTGAATAATTAAATACGTCTACAGTATATATACAAATGTAAATGTTACTCTGAACTGAACTTTATTGGAAACACTTTCAGTGACACACACCATCTGGTGATGCATCCGAATTACAATAAAACATTTCACAAAATACAATGAAAATATACAAAAAAAATTAAAATGATTAAAAAGTGAAGTAGGCCTATAGAGCAATTGAAATATAATAAAATGTAAATATAAAGTACACGTTGAAACAAAAATAAGACGACCTTAAACTGAAAATACCTTTCTTTTCGAAGTATACAATGACCACAGACGTTTCATCCAAGAAATCAATCCGTTCTATGTATCCACCACAATTATCGGATTTACTGAGGTATTCTTCAAGTTTATTCAAAAGGTCATCTTCGGTAGCTGGTAAATTGCTTATCACCACAGTACGCTCTAATTCCGCCTCTAATTCCTGGTCTATCCATTGGTGTAATCGTTCTTCCATTGTCCTGAAAATTTAAAGTTTATTATCAGTACCAGAGTATTATAAGGTATTAGCGAATGAATATAAGATATGAATAACACCATAAACATTAGGCCTGCTCCCGAATTTTCCTGCGCCCTTCTATCGGGCCAGAGGAGATTTTGCAGTAGGCCTGTATCACACTAACCAGTATTCAAGAAATATGTTGTGTTGATATAAAAATTAGGTGTAACGATTCACTAGTGGCGTCACAAAAACATTACTGAACGTGAATTATGATTGTTATCTTAGCGGTGATGTCTGAATCTTTTGAACGTTAATCATGCATATTATAGGTTAATAATCCATGACAATAAACATCCCAGAGAAATAACTATAAACAAAATATTAGCGTGTTACACGTAAGTTGTTGG